GGTCGGAATGTTTCCCCACATCCAAAGTGGGGCTCTTGTTTGCTCTGGACACCCCGCGCAGGAACACATGAACAGGAACACCCCCTGTCTTCTCACTCACTCACTCTCTCACCACATACACACTCACTCACTCACTCCACCACATCATCATCATCACTTACACACTCACTCACTCGCCCACACACTCACATTCACTCGGCATCATCACTCCTTTACTCACACACTCACTCACCACCTACCACCCACTGGCTCACACACACCATCATCACAATCATCACCATCGCATTCATTCACTCACTCGATGAGTCGATACAGACCTCATGAGCTCTTCTCCCTTCGCGCACTCACTATCTCAATGACTCACACACCGTCACCAGCAGAACACCATCAACATCTTCATCATCAGTCACTAAATCAATCAATGTCATCATCATTCACTCAATCACTCACACCATCATCACCACCACCCTCATCATCACCACTCCCATCGGCACCATCATCACCACCATTCACACCACTAGCATCAGCATCATCGTTTACATCGTCATCATCACTCACATCATCATCGCCCACACGCGCACACATTCATTTTGAGGACGCATCAGGTGGGAGCATCGCCTGTGAGTGAATTGCCAGGAAATCTCAGGCGAGAGCCCCCTTCCCTATGAGGCCCGCAGCTCACGTGAGTAATCTGAGCGGGCCATCGGCCTCCTGCAATTGTCGTCACTTTTGAGCCCCTGCGGCCTGCATGAAGTATCAGGCGGGAGCCTCGTCTGTGAGTGAATTGCGAGGAAGTCTGCGGCGGTAGCCCCCTTCCCTATGGGTCTCGCAACTCATGTGAGTAATCCGAGCGGGTCATCGGCCTCCTGCAACTGTCGTCACTTTTGGGTTTTTGAGGCATGAATCTGGGGGAAGTATTAGGCGGGAGCCTCGTCTGTGAGCTATGTGCGAGAAAGTCTCAGGCGGGAGCCCCCTCGCGCCCTTCCCTATGGGGCCCGCAGCTTTTGGTTCTATTCCGAGGCGGGTCATCGGACTCTTTGTAACCGTCGTCACTTTGGGGCTCGTGAGGCCTGAATATGAAGGAAGTATCCGGCGGGGGCCTCGTGTGTGAGTGAATTGCGAGGAAGTCTCAGGCGAGAGCCCCCTCCCTATTGAGCTCGCACTTCACGTTCGAATCCGAGGCGGGTCATCGGCCTCCTGTAACTATCATCATTTTTAGGCTCCTGACATTTGAGTATGAAAGAAGCACAAGGCGGGAGCCTCGTCTGTGAGTGAACTGCAAAGCAGTCTCAGGCGAGAGCCCCCTCCCTATGGGGCCCACACCTCACGTGTTTTCTCTGGGTCGTCCTCCGGCGCGCGTTTCTTTTGGGTCGTCTTCCGGCGCATAGCCGCTGGGACGCACGTCGCGCGTTTCCTCCTAGGTCGTGTCCCGCACGAGGAAGAGGAGGAGGAAGGAAGGAGGAGGAGGATGCAGGACTAGAAAGAGAAGGACGAAGAGGAGGAGGAGGCAGAGGGGAACAGGACGATGAGGAGGAGGAGGAGGAGGAGGAGGAGGAGGAGGAAAGCCCTAGGAGGCCCCAGGAGGTCCCGGGAGGCCCAGAAAGCCCCAGGAGGCCCCAGGAGGCCCCAGAAGGAGGCGGGAGGCCAAAGGAGGAAGCAAGAAGAGGAGGAGGAGGAGGAGGGGGAGTAAGATGGAGACGAGGAGGAGGAGGAGGAGGAGGAGGAGGAGGGAGAGCTGGAGGAGGAGGGAGAGCTGGAGGAGGAGGGAGAGGGGAGGAGGAGGAGGAGGAGGGGACAGGAGGAGGGGGAGGAGGAGGAGGAGGAGGAGGAGGAGGAGGAGGAGGAGGAGGAGGAGGAGGGAGGAGGAGGAGGAGGAGGAGGAGGAGGAGGAGGAGGAGGAGGAGGAGGAGGAGGAGGAGGGGAGGAGGATGAGGAGGAGAGAGGAGGAGGAGAGAGAGAGAGAGAGAGTGCAAACGAGGAGGAGGAAAAGGAGGAGGAGGAGGAGGAGGAGGAGGAGGAAGAGGAGGAGTTGGTGGAGGAGGCACGAGGAGGAGGCATGGGTTGAGGCAGGAGGAGGAGCAGGCAGGAGGAGAAGGAGGAGGCAGGAGTGGGCAGCAGTAGATGGAAGAAGGGAGGGGGCAGGAGGAGATCCCCAGGCAATTGAAACGGATTATCATGTGGGGTCCTACCGTCGGAGTAGTTCGACTGGGAAGCGCCGCCACGCTGGCCATCGCAATGTTTCGTTTCATCTTACAATCCATGACGACCATGGAGGTGTTCCAACGGGCGCGGTTGCGGTTCGGTTTCTAACCCACGAGCTGGCGCGAGAGTTCATTGACGTTGGCGATGACCTGGATGTGTTCTAGAATAATTTCGGCGCCACCGTCAGGAAACTTCACGCATGCGAGACCGAGCTGGTGGACGCACCTGAGCTAACCTGGCACCGCGCAAGGCTGTCCATGACCATGTGCAGGGAGGGCATTTCAGGCAGATGCACAACCGGAAGGGTGATGATTGGGGTCACTGGCATTTCTTTAACCGTGGCGTTCGCCTGAGAGAGAAAATCGTTCGGCGGGCTCAGAGCCCTCTGTGTGGCGATAACCCGTGGGCCTTTTAACCATTCTTGGGCAGCCAACCCTCGCTTGAGAACGGCGCGCGAGCAGAAGCTGGAAGATCGTAACTTGAGGCGGGCTGCCCCCCTCATTAGAGATCCCACTTTTGCCTACTGCGAACCACTGGGCAGGTGCAACGGGATCAACGATCAGTTCGCCAGCAAGAATCCCTGGACTCACCGCGATAATGCCGTCGGTGCTTGGTACGACAGCGATGAGGAGCATGAGGCCTATGACGATGACCGTTTCGTGGAGCCTGACGCACGGAGACGCGCTTTCGCCCGGAAGCGTAGCCGCGATAAGGAGTTTGCGCGCGCACCGACGCAGGCAAGGGCGAAGGAAAGGGCAAGAGACCGAGGTCGACCCCCATCAGGACAAGGAGGCCAAGAGTGACAGCTAGCCTTCGAACATGTTCCTACCTCTTCTCTCTCTAAGGTTGATCGCAGATAAGCCCAAGTCTTTTCAAGCGAATGTATTTGACAGAGCTGGCGTGGCAAATAACAAAGAATGGAGATCCCGACATATTTCTGATTATTCGCTGTACCGCTCTGTCACATACGCCATGCATAGTGCTTACGTTGGTCCTTGTCAATCGCGCGCTGCGCTTTGTGCATATCAGCCATTTGTTTCGCCGATCTTGTGTATATCTTGATTCGACTGTTGCCCACTCGCCTTAACCATCCGCGCTCAGGCAAATCCTTGACGCTTCGTGTATCCCCACCAGCCTCTCGCTGTGTGGCTACCCGTGCACCCTGCTGCGTCCTGACTAGTCCGCTGGTCCTCTGTACGCAGGCGCATCGCTCAGCAGTGGTTGGGTCTCCTTTGACTGCTCTGGCTTAGGCTTCCCCATTGCGTGGATGCGTTCTCTGATGCTGCGACGGTTCGCTGGCGCTGTCAGAACCTTTCTTCTGCTGGACGACGTCACCAGTTATTGTCTGCCCATACCCGTCAGGCTCCCTGGATTGACTTTCTCGCACGGGGACCGTTCCCTACCACGCGGTCGTCTCTACTCGATCGCGGCCTGGGACGTACTGCGCGCCATTTTGGCTGCGCCTGGCTCGCCCGAGGGCTGACCTTTCAGACTCCCTGGGTTGCAGCTTGCACGACCGTCTCAGGTGACTGACCTTTCAGACTCCCTGGGATTGCACGACCGCTGGCCTCTCAGACGCCCTGGGTCGCCGCTGCTTGCCGCCTGATCCGCGGCCCCGCGCGCGCTCGGGAATTTAGTCGCGGCCGCAGCCCGTCCGTGACTGTTCGCCGCTGGCGCTTCCGCCTGCGGCGGTTTTTTATAAAACTATTATTTAAAATTTTTAAACAATATATATATATATATATATATATATCCCCACCAGCCCATCCAGAAGAACATCGCCAGACGAGTTGCATTGATCAGGTCGGCGTATAAGACTGCAGTGTGACAACCGCCCGCTAAGCGTTTCTTCTGAGGTCTTTGGAGTCATCGTGGGGTTCTCTTGGGGTCCTCGCGGTGCCTCTCGGAGCATTATTGAAGCCCGTTTGTGGCTCGTTTGGGGCCTTCTTGGGGCCCGGCCCTCTTGGGCTTCGGTGGGGGGCGGGCGGGAGGCTTCTTAGGGCCATCTTGGCCCCCATGACTCTTGAAGAGGGGGGGGGGGGGAATTCAGGTCCCCCCAGGGAGGTTAAATTTGTGTCTTGAGGCCCTCATGGAGCGCTTTTGGGGCGTTCTTGTGCGCTCTTGGGATTGTCTTGTGTGTATATATATATATATATATATGTATCGATTCGAGAACCGCCCACTCGCTTTAGCCATCTGCATTCAGGAAATGTTGTAAAGTCGCACGCAGCCGACCCCACCTGAAGTACGAGGTCGAGGGGAGGGTCAAAATGAGCCCCCACGCTACTGTGCAGCTGCCGGCGTGTGGTTCTAGCTTATAGCCGCATAGCGGTGGTGCAGGACACGCTTGTTTATATTTAGCATTCCGCTTGATCAAAGATATGTCTGTTTACTACCATCGTTCTGTTCAAGTTGCGGCACGACGAGACCATAATGGAGGACGAGGAAAGGAGAAGGAGGAAGGAAACCTATAGATATCAAGGACACACTCTGACTCCTAGGACTCTGCGGTCTGCTGTAGGCAGCGCGCCCGGACGCGTTTGCACACGGTGTCTTTGTTTGGCCAGACGCTACGGGGAGGGCGCGACGACAGAGAGGGAGGGGAAGGCGCACGTGCAGGGACGGCCTGGGGGGGGATATGCGGGCGGGCTCCACCAGCCCTACACGACGGAAGGGAACTTGGGGGTTCCTGCCGCACACCTTCCTGCCCGTTCCCCTGACCTTACCCCCTCGGCCTCCACTTGCCTCGCATTCCGCCTCTTCGCTCGGGCAAGCAGCGGGAGCTGCCGCCATGCCAGGACAGCTCCGGGGACAAGAAGAGGCTCATCTTGAGGCGTGCCGCCGCGGGCCGAGTGGCGCCCGGCGCCATCAGAGGGGTCCACAACCTCGCCGCTCGCTTGGCATACGGCGGCCTGCTGGGGACGGGGGGCGCTTCTACCATGGCCGAGTATGAAAAAGGTCTGGGGGAACGAGTTTCCACCGGTCCCCCCCAAAAAAGTTGGGGCAGCAGCGCGGGAGCTCTGACGTACGCAAAAAGTTTGAAGGAATTGGCGGATGGGGTGACCGGAGGCATCCATCCACGCGCCTTATTGTAGATGCTATGGGTGGAGAGTGGAGGTGGGCAGATGGGAATGGGAAGAGATTGAGGAGCACGAACGTGAGGGAGAAAAGTGGCCAAGGTCCAGCGTCCGAGCCGGCGTGCTGACACGCTGCGAATTCTGGGCGCGCCCACATCACGGAGCACGGGGGCTCGTGCCGCACAACGCGTCTGGGGCCAACGCGCACGCCACGACGCCATGCCGCAGAGAAGAGGGAAGAGTCGTGGTGACCCCCCTCTTGGGCTTTCCCATTCCGCTCCCTCGCCCCTCCCCTGGCCATACTGGTCACCAGTGCCAGGAACCTGAGACATTCATGCCCACCAGACGGCCCCGCGGGAAGGGTTGGGTAGGTTGGGGTCGCCTTTCTCGCGGGCTCCCGCCAAAGTCGGGAATTTCCCCATTCGATGAAATGCGTGGGATGCGCGCAGGCTTGCACTTGGGGATCGCAGTCGTTCGTCGATCCTCCACGCGGATACCCGCACATGTGCATCTCGTACACCTGTCACATGTCGCTGAGGAACTCTGTCTAGGAGAGTTTGGGTTGACAGCGAGTCCGCGTAGACGTCAGGCGCGGCAACGACGACGACGACGACGACAGCGACGACTTACGTGACGTCCTCCTCCTCTGGACGTTTTTCCAGGAGAGAAGAAGGAACACACAAGAAGTGGAAGAGCGAAGGGGACTTCCTCTTGCCGTTCTCCCTGCGGCAACCCAGGCAAGCGCGCACGGCGTTGCTACGCCCGCTCTCTGGCGTGCTAGTCGCGGCGCCTGCTAACACGTGGAGCGCCCAAGTGCCACGATGGCCATCTCCCGGTAGCCATTGGTGTGTGAGCTTTGGAACCAGAGCGTGGGTGATATGAGCATGAACGATTCGGAGTGTGAGCGGATCCGGGCACGATTGAGCATGAATGTGGGCGAATCTTGATATAATTAGTTTGAGAGCGAGTGGGTTTTTGTATGCGGGGGCTTGGATGCGAGCGAGTCTAAGCGCGAGTGGTTCTGAGCGCGGGTGAGACTGAGTGAAGGCGCGTTTGATTTTGCATTTGGCAAAAACAGATGTGAGTATACGTGCGCTTGGGTGCGAGGTGGTCTGAGTGTGGGTGAATCTTACGGCGTGAGTGAGTCTGAGCGCGAGGGGGTCTGAATGTGAGCTTGGGTGCGAGCGAGCCGGCGTTCGACCGAGTCTGAGTATGATCGAGCGAGTACGAATGAGTCAAATTGCGGTCTTGAGTATGATCGATTTTGAATGTCACGAGCGAGTTTGAGTGGAAAAAAAAAGCGCTGGTGAGTGAGCCCGAGTGCGAGTGAGTGCGTCTGGGCAGGGAAAAAGTAGGCAGGAAGTGAGTGATTGAGCGAGTGAGTGAGTGAGTGAGTGAGTGGGCGAGTGAGCGAGTGGGTGAATGAGTGAGGGGCACGCAAGTCCAAAGAGAAGTCTGCCAGGCAGACATAGGCAAACCGCTTGCGACATCCCCACAATCAGGTCGCGAATCCAGAAGTATCCAGGCTCCGCCAGTTGCCAGAATACCACGCCTGCTATATGGCGGCGAGCACTGGACCACAACAGATAGTTTGGGAGGCAGAAGGCAAACCGCTTGAGACACCCCCACAATCTGGGCGCGAATCCTTCGGTGTCCCCACCTATGGCTGTTCCCCCTTGAAGTGTCCAAAGGCCCCGCCTGCAATACCGCAGTGAGCATTGGACCACCAAAAGAGACAAATCTGGGTGGGCAGAAACAAGCAAACCGCCGGAAACATCCCCACAATCTGGGCACGACTCCTGGAGTGTCCCCGCCCCTGGCAGCTCCTCCGTGGGGTGCCAAAGTGCCACGCCTGCTATATCGCGGCGAACACTGGACCGCCAAAGAGGGACGTTAGGGGGGGCAGAAACAGGCAAACCGCTTCGAACATCCCCCGAATCGAGGCGCGACTCGTGGAGCGTCCCCACCCCTCGCGGCCCCCCACTAGGTTAACCAAGTGCCACGCCTGCTATTGCGTGGTGGGCAATGAAGCACCAAAGAGACAACTTGGGGGGACAGAAACAAACAAATCTCTTGAGACAAACCATCATCAGAGCGCGGTTCCTGGAATGTCCCCAACCCTGGCGGCTCCCCCTTGGGGTGCCCGAGTGCAACGCCGCCTGCTAGATCGTGGTACTGCCAGAGACATACCCAATAAATTGCCAGATACAGACCCCAATCAGAGCGCCAGCCCTGGAGTGTCCCCACCCCTGGCAGCTCCCCCTTGGGATGCCCAATCGACGCGCCTGATATATCGCGGTGAGCATTGGACCACCCGAAAAATCTGCCGGAGTCTGAGTGTGGAAAAGTGTGTCGGAGTGAGAGAGTCCGAATGTGTATGACTGAGAGGGCGTCCGAGGTCCCTGAGTGGTTTTGAGTGAGTGCGAGTGAGGCTGAGCCTGAGTGAGTCTGAGTGAGGTGTCTGCGTGAGGAATCGTGGGTCTGTGTTGACACCCGTGAAGAAGAGTGGGTTTGTGATTGGCCCCGTGCGCCGCCCTTGTCGCGCTCCGCGCGCCAAGGGGGGGGGGGGGTCCAGAGTCGATCCCAAAAATCCGCGTGGGCCGTCGAAAGTTGAGGTGTCTGCAGTTGGTGCTTCCCCTCTCTTTCCCGCGCCCGGCGCCCCCGCCCGCGTTTTTCCTTGCGGTTCCCTGCTGGGCCCCGCTTTGGGCAATGCGTTCCTGAGGCGGCGTTCGGGACGGGTGACGCCAGCTTCCGGCGTAGCCTCGGAGGCGCCCCCGGCCCGAGCCTGAACCCTCCTGTTGGGCGTTACGCTCCGAGCTCAATGTCAGCCCGAAGCTATCCAAGACAAGAGATAATTCGGAGCTCTGCTCCTGAGCCTGGTCCTTCCCCGCGCCCCCCCCCCCTCCTCCCATCCCCCAGGTTCAGCCTCATCGCCCTCACTTGGCCCTCCTGTCGGGCTTTACGCTCCGAACTCAATGTCAGTCCGAAGCTATCCAAGGCAAGAGATAATTCGGAGCTCTGCTCCTGAGCCTGAGCCTTCCCCGCGCCCCCCCCCCCCTCTCGGGCGAAGAGAACTATGCACATGCACCGGTCCTGGCCAGGCCCATCCTTGCCCCCAGGATCGGTGCATATGCCTTCGTGGCCAAGGCAGGAGGGCGTATGCACCGATCTTGGGCTCAGGGTGGGCCTGGCCAGAATCGGTGCATGTGCATAGTTTTCTTTCCTCTACCCTCCTCCCATCCCCCAGGTTCAGCCTCATCGCCCTCACTTGGCTGCTCCTGCTGCCGGCGAACCGCCCCGCGCCCGCGCGCGTGCGCCGTGCTTGCGGAGGCAGGCTGGCGGGGAGGATGGTCAAGGGAGGGGGGAGGGGCCAGGTAGACGCGCGCGCGTCATGTCTGACGTCCTACCCTTCCCTCCCATCCCTTACCATGGCGTAGATCTCTTCTCCATCCGCCGGTTCGCACAATCGGATGTCGTAGCATGGCATAGCATTATATGACATAGCATGGTGTTGAAGATCAACGCGTAGCATGACATAGCATGGCGTGGCGACGCCCCAAAGTGGGGGGAGGGCTTCTGCAGCCAAACAAATCAACGAATCGGCACCGAATGTGGAATCCCTTTCCGATGTTTTTTTCGGGAGGCATTTTTTTATGTTTTGGGGCCTGTTTGGAACGACCGAAAACCATGCCGTGGCATGGCACTGGAAATAATGACGCCAGCGCTGCAGCGGGAGCACGATTCGGAACGAGCGGAAGCGCGGAAATGAGACCAGCGCTGCAGCGGGAGCACGATTCGGAATGAGCGGAAGCGCGGAAATGAGGGCAGCGCTGGAGCGGGAGCACGATTCGGAACGAGCGGAAGCCCGAAAATGAGGCCAGCGCTTCAGCAGCGGCAGCAACACTATTTAAAAAATAAGCGGAAATCCAGTTCACAGGAATCTTGTGTGTAAAAAATAATTCGCGGAGGGGGGCCAGATATCGTCCGGACGTCATCAGGAGAGAGAGGAGAGTAGTATTCATAATGTGTAAATGTAGAAAGGAGGCAGGGAGGATGGGGGGGAAGGGGCGGAGGGGGAGGAGGGGGGAGGGGGGTGTTGGGGGGAGGAGGGGGAGGAGGAGGAGGGGGGTGAGGGGTGAGGGGAGGAAGGGGAATGGGGGAAGGGAGAAAGGGAGGAGGGGGGCGGGGTGGCCAGGACCCGTGCCGAATCGTCCACGGGTAAACGAAAGCGCCCGACAAAATTGAGACCGCGCTGAGCCAGAGCCTCCAAGATCGAGTCGGGACGGTCAAGCGAGGAAGCCGGCAGGCCTTGTCCGGGGGGGGGCCTGCCTGCGCGGCGCTGCCATGCGCCGCAGAGTGCAGGGCCTCCGGCGCGCGGACGAGCGGCAGAGACTCGCTCAGCGCCTTTCGCGACAGATGGCGGAACGATGGGGGAGGAGCGGAGGACGAGGAGGAGGGATGGAGGACGGGGTGGAGCCAGAGTCGAGGCGCTCATCCCGTGGGTAGACCACAGGCAGCGCCGAGGCGAGGGCCGCATCGGAGGCCTCACGCAGGCGAGCCTCCCGCGAGAGCCCTCGGCACGGCTGCCAGAGTTGGACGTCCCTGCTTCGCAGAGCCCAGCGGAGAGCGAGGCGCCAGGGCGACGGACGAAGAGCATGCCCAGCCTGCACCACTTCACGTCGCCTTGCCTCACAGCGCGCTGAAGCTGATGTGAGGGGTCGGCGCAGCAAATGCGTCAGGAGCCGGGGCACAACCGACTCGACCTCCTCCCCATCGGTTTCGAGGGCAGACGCGGAGCGCCTCCGCCTCCACGCATCCTGTAGATGCAGGGATGCGCTGAGCCTCCGTTCGGGCGTGGCTCGCATGCACGGTGCGGCCAAGCACGAAGAGGACGAAGCGCGAGTTCTGCGCAGGCGTACCAGACTCGAAGAAGAAACACATCCATAAGCATAACTGTTGGCGCTCCGCGCGGATTTCTTGGATCTGCGCTGGGGCCCCCTGGCGGCGCCTCCAGCGCCGCCCCTGGCGCGCTCCGCGCGCCAGGGAGAGGGGTCAAACGCAGATCCAAGACGTCCGCTCGGAGCGCCAACAGGTTATGTGTATGGCGGTCTTTCTTCTGCCACCGACGTCACAAGCCACTGTTGCGAGAAGCCGAGAGAGGCAGCACGAGGTGGGAGGCCGCTCGCCCCTCTCCTCCGCAGTCCTGGCCACTGGAACTCCCAGGAGACGAGCGTGGGATTGCGCAGCACCGATCTGGAGGCCAAAGCGTTCAACAAGCTTTCGGGGCAACGCATGGGAGAGGGCGCCTAAGCGGGCGAGGGGCATCTGCCCATGCATTGCCGGACGGGGGAGGGGGGGAGGGAGGAGAGAAGGGGGTGCGGGAGTACGACGCGGGAGAAGTGTAAGGAGAGGGACAAGAGCGGTGAAGGCGGGCAGGGTCGGGGACGCCGGTGGGGATGGTGCGGAGAGGATCCGCAGCGGCGGCCCCTCTCTCCACCCTCTCCTCCAGGCACTCGCGAATCTATGGCGCAGCGCCACCTGCTCGGCAACTCGAAGTGCGCCTGCGAGTTGCTTGGCGATCATCCAGCTCACCACTGCCACGACCACATCGCCCTTCGTCTTTGTAGCTGCGGCAGGGAACGGGGGTAACGCCTAGAGGATCTTCAGCCCGAGGCGCACCCTAATCTCGGCACCGGTACGCGGAGTGCCTGCTCCATGAACACTGTGGATGGTTCCCAAGACATCGTAGGTCGCCAAGATATCTGAAACAATCTGAAATACTCTGAACGAGAGGGAGAGATAGCAGACACCTTTTCAGTACATGACAAGCTGCATTCCTGGAAGGGGGTCGACGGACCCCCCTCCCCTTGAACCCAAACGGTTAAGGAAAAGGGGTCTCGGGTTCTTAGTTAAGCACAGCACACATAGCACTTGAAAGCGCTCCCTGCGCTTTCAGATTCACACTGGTCATAGTCCACTGCTTAGAACCCGATGAAGTCCTCGCATCTCCATGCACATGCACTGCCCTGTCGGTGGTCTGGGTCTGGTATACCTCCTGGGCCTCTCGGATCCACCGATAGGCCTCGGGCTCGTAGTTGAGGTCGTCATCCTCGTAGTCGTGCTTGAGACTACCCGTACAGTCCATCTCGTACAGGTCCATTCCTGAAAAACAACACTCCACCGAATAGGCATAAGTAGGGTCGCCCTTCTTCTTCCTCATCTGTCGCTCTTGTTCCCGTCGGCGTAGCACGATGCTGTCCGCAGTGATACCATACTCGCCCAACTCCAGGGCATGTCGAAGTAACGTACTCTCGCCCTTGCGCTTGGTGAGCGGGTCGGTCAGCTGACTTGCACCTTTGATCCATCGTAGATGAACTTGAGGTCGCTGCATCGCTGAGCGCACGATGGCCACGTCGATTGCTGCCCTCTTGTCCTCCGCCAGTCCCGCCTTCGGATTGGTAACGTGATCGTAACCGCCTCTGGAGTCGGTCACACTGATGACGGGGAAACGACCAGCGAGTAGGTAGGGACGCATCAGATCGAACTCGGAGTCGACGATCTCCAGCAGCATGGTCTTGATGAACTCCGCCATAGCCATGCCCTCCGATATGGCCAGCGTCTCCGCACCAAACTGGTGAGCACATTTCCTCTTCAATTTGTGATTCTTCCAGGATTGGATGGAGATGGTGGCCGCTTCGCCCTTCAAGATCTTACGCTGCGTCGCGAACACGATATATCCTGCTTGTGAGGCTCCATCCCGTGCATTGGCCCAGGTCGCGTCATTGAAGGCAGCGAAGGCCAGCTCGTGAAAAGGTATGTGTCGTACCTTGAGTGCTACGTCACAAAACTCCTTGTTCATGCGGCCGATACGATTGGCTTCCAGCAAGTCGTCCACAGTGAGATTCGGCATTTTTCCCTGCAAGAGAGAGACGGGACCCGAAAGGTCGGGGCGACTCTCCCGCGCCAGTAAGGAGATGGAGCCGCACAGGCTCCGTGCCTGATGCAGCTCTGCTGGCGTCACTGGTGACTGAGGCGTCTTACGTCTCTCTGCGGCGATGTCGATAAGTTAAATATTGAAGGAGCTCTGGCGTTGACAGATGGTGATCTCCGTGTTGTCGTCGTTCTGGTCGAACCCCTTGCCTGTGTACTTCCCCTTCTTGAGACGCCAGGCACCAAAGGGGAACTTCTGACGCAACTTCTCGCATGCCTCATTGAACTTCTGGTCGCCACCGCCCACGACGTCGTCCACCGTAAGGCCCATGACGCCGCGCAAGCCCTCTTCGTCCCTGAGGTAGAAGACGCAGCCGTCAAAGATGGAGCACTGAAAACCGATCTCTTTGGCATAACTTGTGAAAGAGGCCAGCCATTGGACGGGGGCGTCGCCGCGTCCATATACTGCCTTGAGTAACTCCACCAACGAGCCCGTTTCCACGTCTGGCATGCCCGTCCGTGGTAGGTCCACAAAAAGCCTGCCCTGAGACCTGTCCAGTGGGTCTCCTGCTGTGAAGGCCGACGTGATGTCTGCAAACTGCAGCGTCCACTTATTGGTGCACAGGATCTGCAGGATGAGGAAAACCGAATCCTTACCCACGACTGGGCTGTAGGTCTCCAGCTCCAGCAGGTCAGGGTCGGTGTGTCCCTGGACGGTCCATCGCGCCTTGGCCATCCTCCAGTCGTTGCCATTCATGAAGAGCAAGGGCTTCTTGCTCGCGTCGGTCTCGTTGGGGTCGCCGTCCTTGTCAGTAAGTACCCACCTGGAGCCCATGATCCGAGTGGTCAATGCAGGATCCTGTCGAACTCGTTCTGCTTCTTCTGGAGGGAGAACCCGTACTGCACCCGCCTTCTGTATGTTGCCCCACTCCCTGCGCTTGGCTGAGATGCACGGCTGGTACTTGTAGGTGTTCACAAGAGACTTCTCCGTGACCTCCTTGCGTCCTCGTTGAGCTGCACTAGTCAACAGAGCGCTGGTGGCGCCCTGAGCTGTTCCCCTCATTTTTTTCTTGGGAGGAGCCTGCTGTCCTTCTGAATATTCTCCTCGATGGTCGCGATACGTTGTGCCACCGGTATCGCCGCGCCAGGGTTAACTAGAGCTTGCTTGATGGTGATCGGTACATCGTCGAGGTGATCATAGTACTGCGTTTCCATGGGAATGGGATCTGACTTCACATCGGAGGAGTGCTCGATCTCCACCGTCGGTGGCTCCAGGGAGGCCGCTGGTTGATCATCCGCTGCGAGCTCTGAAGGTGCTGTCTGAGGTACGTCGTCCTGGTCATCCTCAGCTGGTGAGGTCTGCTTGGTCAGGTCCTCGTACTTGCGCCTCCCGCGGTTCTCGGTGCTCACCTCCTCCTTCATCGCGTGGTCGATCTGCTCCCAGGCGGATGTCTCCCCCTCATTGGCGTGTCGAAGCTGTTCTGGTGAGCATTTCAGTAGTCCACCCTGGTACGAGCACCACACCGTGCTTGGCAGCTCAGTCTGGATGACTCTGGCTGGGCCATGCCAGGAGCTCACGGGGAGCTTGTCCGTACTACTCCTCCAGAAATAGCAGCGATCTCCAGGCTGAAAAGTAGTGCCCCTCGGCGGTCGAGTCCTTCTATTGAGAGCTCGTCGCCACTTCTCGGAGCACTCCGCCTCGATGTACGCTGCCATGGCTGCCTTGCGCATGTCAATGCTCCTGGCAAGCTCGGCGTCCCCATTCATGGCTCGAGATACCGTCGCCAAACTCGGCGAGCCCTCCTCAAATATTTTTTCTGGTAGTTGAAAGGGTCTTCCAAAAACTCTCCTGGTAAGGCGTGAAACCCCCACGTCGCACACTTTCTCCAATCGCCACGTTGACTGAGTCGACCAGCTCGTAGAAGTCGCCCCAGTTCTTGGAGTTGAACTTTTGCCTTGTGCGGTAGAAGGTCTCCTTCCAGGTCCCCCCAGCCCTCTCAGTCTTGCCTGCCTGCCATGGCGAAGTAGCGCTCGTCACCTTCACCTCGGTGCCGTCTCCTTCAGCTGCGTCTGGAAACTCGCCTGTTGAAAAACCTTTCTCGCCGTCTATCACGATGATCCTGGGAGTGCCGTACATCCGCTTCCAGAAAGCACGATAATGTCGTCTGATCTGCTGACCTTGTCTGCGCGGTAGCGGTACCACGACTTGGTGCCCCGTCCCGTGACACACGATGTTGAGCATCGGTACTTTGGTGGTGTTCTCGGGACCTAGAACGAAGAAGATGTCCATGCCGATGACGTCGTTGAACTGGTAGGTTGTGGGAGCCTTGGACGGTTTGGCCAGCCTGGGACGCTTGTTTGCCTCACAGCTTGGACAGACCAGATGCTGCGCGGCCTCGATAAAGACCTGGCGAGCCTTGCCGTACTTCAAAACCATCACCAGATTCTCGTTACTGCAGTGACCCATGTTCTCGTGTATCTTCTGTACCTGCTGCTTGACATGAGGATCCGTGCTCCTCTCGTCCTTGTTGTTGGAGACGGGCGCTGTACAACAAGACACGCACTGCGAGCTTGAATGTTCTTCGTCCATCTTCGTCTCGACGGTCGCGAGCTCGCTCATCTTGGCCTTCACGATGGCTCGTACCAGAGCTCCAGTCAGCTCCTGCAGGGGTATCGGCACGTCCCCCAGCTTGTTCTGTAGAGAGCCCTGCACGAACTCCTGACTCAGCATCTTCCCGTGCTCTGATGCCTGGCCAGGTAGGTTGGTCAAACAGGCCCGTCCTCGTGCATTAGCTTTCCCCGAGAAGACCCCGGGAAGTCGCCTCAGCTTCTGGATGAGTGGGTCGCCCCATTCTCGAGAGCTCTCCTCCTGCTCGTAGTAGAAGTACCTGCCGTTAATCGCCTGCTGGATCGCCATGTCCGACATGAAGGTCGCCACGTCCCTGCCGATCTTCTCCTTGAGCTTCTTGTTGTAGATGTCCTTGGGCGGCTTGATGATCACGAGTAGGGGACTCGCACTCTTGATCATGTTCCACGCCTCTTTCTGCCCACTCCTCACTAGTAAGTGATGTCCTGCCACGACCATCACGTGCTTCTGCTCTGTAGTTTCGTGTAAGGGAACCCCGCCAGTCTCCATCATATCGTCGTCATCGTGAACCTGCTCCTCTAGCTGGCCGAGGAAAGCGGTGCACTCTGCAATCGCGTCCTCCATGGCCTCCCTCATTTTGTCCGTTTTACCTAACTCCTTGAGCGCCTTGCTGATCTTCCGCTCCTCCTTCTCGGTCAGCTCGTCTACTGGTCGCTGATGTCCGCCCCGAGGTGGCCGCGCAGGTTCTCCACCAGCTGGTTGGTCGTTGCGTTGGCGTTCTCGTCCTGCAGCA